TGCTTGCATTGCTAACTGGTGGGGGGGGGGGGGTGGAGGAAGCTTTGTCTTTTCATTGGCTTCTTATTTATTTGTTCTTTATTCATTTATTCAATTCTCCTTTGTTCTCTCTTCTTCCAATTTTCTTCTTCTTCATCTTCTTTCCTCTCCGTGATGACATTACGAGACTGAAGTGACAAATGGTGAGAATTCTGCAATTACTGCATATAGTAAGGGTAGGAACTGCACAGACAGTTTTAAAGAGAGAGAAGAAAATGAAATATTGGAATACAGGAACGTGAAGACAAAGGATACAGCCTTAAACAGTTCATAAAAAAGTTCGCATGGCTCCTGTATGCGTCGAGTTGTCATCCAGTTATTGTGTGTATCATGTTATTGTGAGTGAACGCCAGAGGAGGGGGGGGGGTGAACGTTAGAGGGGATCAGCCGAAGGGGCCTTCTCTCCCCCTCGCACTGGACGGGTTATTTAGACCGTTAGGAAGTTTAAACGGCGGCAGCGCGGGTAATGGCAATTGCAAAGGGTGCAACAGCGAGGGACAGGACTATGTGTAATAATCTTTAGGAGGGGTAAAGGATATTCTATAAATGTAGAAAAAATGCATTGCAGCAGGGAGCTACCACTGCAAATAGAAAATAGCGGCTCTACAATCGGTTGCACTATAAACAGTAGGGGGAAATCAATATTGATTTATGAATGTGTCATGCCATTAGGAAAGGCGCTGCGATTGGTCGCAGGAAAGCGGTGTCTCACAGATGGAATGCATCTCTTAATTACTAAATCATCTCTTAAAGAGCTGGTATAGAACTTACCGCTGCGTACCGATGAGAGAGAAATGCGGTTCAGTAATTCCAAATAAGATCAAGTCAATAGAAATATTACTTCAAAATGAATTATCAAATTAAAGAATAAACAGTGATTAGTACCGAAAGGTTCGTTAAGGAAGGGAGCAGGCGAGATTCCGATATATTCCTATCACTACCAAATGACAGCGAATTAGAGTGAAAACTATAACAGGATAACATTCAGAGAGGGGGGACCGCAGACACATTGTAAAATGCAGAAGAAAAGGAGGAGGGTACTCTTTCTTGATAACTTGAAGAGCAGATTGTGAGTTAACATTGGAAGGAAGGGAAGGGAATGATATAATCTCCTAAGGGGTGTGGAGGTGATATTATGCAGGTGTCACGACTGCTTATAAGGGTGCAGGACTTAAAGACGCATTGGAGGGAGTGTTGTATGTACGCGCGCGCGGCGCGCCCGTGTGTGTGTGTGTGTGTGTGTGTGTGTGTGTGTGTGTGTGTGTGTGTGTGTGTGTGTGTGTGTGTGTGTGTGTGTGTGTGTGTGTGTGTGTGTGTGTGTGGAGAAAGAGAGAGAGAGAGAGAGAGAGAGAGAGAGAGAGAGAGAGAGAGAGAGAGAGAGAGAGAGAGAGAGAGAGAGAGAGAGAGAGAAAGAGAGAGAGAGAGAGAGAAAGAGAGAGAGAGAGAGAGAGAGAGAGAGTTCTGATCTGGTTTGATAAGAAAATATTGACAGGACTGTGTATATGCCCTGCAAAAAGCTAGGGTAGGATACCCCAAAGCATGTATCCAAACTGGATGTGCTTCTGTTTGTGTCAAACAGTATAGTTAAATACAAGCCTGAAAGACTGTACCACTGTCACTGCATTATCAAAATATCATCTGGTTGGTAAAAAAAACTTTTATATTACTAATCATGTCAAAGACAAGACCAGTATCTATAATAAAATGAATATAATCAATGAGTGCTAATCTGTGGACAGTACTACTTGATCGATAAGATGCAATAGTAAGTAAGGAGTAATTTTATGCAACTTTTACGTCTTGCTCAGTTTGCAGTGTTGATATAGCTTTGCTTCCAAAGCTGTATCCTGCAAATATTGTATAGTGTACTATATCCTAGTTAATGTAACCTGGTATCTCCGAGAAAGATCATCATAGATTTCACAGGGTTTGTCCATATCTGATGTCCTAGCAATACCACATAATACCAGATAGTATTCCATGTCCGTTGTCTTCACCTCTTCATTGGACCATAATTTCCTCATAATTTCGAAGATAGCTGATAACACGTTTTTTTTCATTTTCATCTGATATGGATATAGCAGCACTACATAATGTGGTTCTTAATGGGAGAATGCTACTTTAGTTAATTGGTCAACCCTATGACATTTCTATATGAGAGAGTATCCGGTATAGTGATAGTCTAGAAATTTGGTGAAGGATACTTCTGGTTACCATGTTTTCTGAATTAAATGCAGTGAGCCTATAGAGCACAACCTGACTGTCAGTAAAGTCAGTCAGGTGTCGCTGTTGTTCATTACCTTTTTTTAATGACATGGCATATGACTACATACTCAACATCAGTTGCGCTTGCCCAGTTGGAAATACCTACAGTTCCTGAAAGATCTATATCAGGAATTAGTACGCCAATTCCTGCTGCTCCTTAGGGATCAGTGGAGGCGTCACAGTAGATTGCAAGTGAAGGTGCACCATGAGGGGGATGGAGAATATCTTCTATAAATTTTAATTAAAGAGCTTTTAGTTCTGTTCTTGAAATCATGGATTTAGGCTCTGTTAATTTTGTCAATATGAGCATATACATGAGGTCTGTGCCAAAGGGCAGTAAGAATTGTTTCTGGAATGTTTAGTGTTCCATACATTGAAAAATATAATAGAATGGGCAGTTTTGGTTTTCCATTCTAAGGCCGGGCATGCCTAACTCTATAATTTATCCCATTTGATAAAATAGGGGAGATTCGTGGTCTGGGTAGAAGCTACAGAGAGTGAGGCCAAGTGAACAGAGGGGAGGTCTAGCTCTTTCTTCATGACAAGGACTTAAGCAGTCATTGGGCATCCAAGTATATGTCTCATGGCCTAGTTTTGTAAAACTTCAAGGGCAATTTGTGGAAACATAGTAAGAGTTGAGAGAGAGAGAGAGATATTGATCAATAGATAGAAAGATAAAGAGAGAGAGAGAGAGAGAGAGAGAGAGAGAGAGAGAGAGAGAGAGAGAGAGAGAGAAGAGAGAGAGAGAGAGAGAGAGAGAGAGAGAGAGAGAGAGAGAGAGAAAAAAAAAATCTAATGCAAAGGCACCAAAAATACTGATAACGAAATTAAATATGGGATTTAGGGCATGCGTACAAGTCAAAACAGTCTGTACCAAGACTTCAAGTTGAGGTCTGAGTTGGAACAGGTTAGAGTGCAAAGAGAGAGAGAGAGTAAATCACAAGAGTCGTTAGTGAGTGCAATATACCTGAAGACGAACCTGTAAAAAAGAGAACTGAATAATATATATGTACAAATATAAGCAAACGGCGAATAAACAGATTAAGCTTAATAAAACAAGCAAAAAAAGAATCAACAATGATAATTAACCAGTATACAAAAACAAGACATAAATAAACACTAGCACTGGCTGCGACGACTCAAGGTATATCAAGGTAAACGTGGTGAGTCAGGCTTTATCAGTGAAACCGGCTTGAATAAAGATTAGGTGAATACTCTGAGTAAAGACACTGGGTGAGGGAAGAGCCAGAGGAGAGGGACAAGAGGTAAATGTGGGGGAGGGAATTTGTGGAAGGGAAAAGTGGGAGACACAGAGGGAGAGGAGAGGAGTATGAAAGAAGAAGGGAGGAAGTGGGAGGAGGGGGATATCAAAAATAGGGAGACTAGGTAGGAGTGGGTAAGGGGATCTGTGGAGGGGGAAAGAGGAGGACACACAGAGAAAAGGGAGGGAAGTATGTAATAGAATGGTGAGGAAGGAAGGAGGGAAATATGAAAAGTAGGGAGATAGGGGTGGGGAGGAAGACATGAAAAAGAGGGAAGCTGTGAGAAGGGGAGAATGAAAAACAGGGAGACAAGGGGGTGGAGAGAAAGAGAGCATGGAAGAGAGGGAGACAGAGGAATGGGTAGGAAGGGAGTATGAAAAACAGGGAGACAAGGGGGTGGAGAGAAAGAGAGCATGGAAGAGAGGGAGACAGAGGAATGGGTAGGAAGGGAGTATGAAAAACAGGGAGACACGATGGGGATGAGGGGTATGGGGGAGAGGTTTTGTACGGATGGGGAAAGTATGAGAAGTAAGGAAGCAAGTTTGGGTAGGGGGGGGACGTGAGAAAAGGGTGGAGCAAGGTGGAGGTAAGGAAGGGTGAAGGAAGCATGTAAAAAGAGGGAGCCAAGGTGGGGGTGGGAGTGTGGGAGAAGCGAGTATAAGAAAGAGGGAGTGGGAGAGGGTGTGTTTATTGGGGAACATGAGAAAGAGGTAGACCAGTGGGGTGAGGGTGGGTGGAGGGTATGAGAAAGACCCACGTGACACCGATAATGGGGAAGATGTTAAGATAATTCGATAATGCGGTTTGATTAAGGGCCAAATTCCCTTAAGAGCAACTCGGCGGAACATCTGTCACGCAGGACTTTAAAGCCCGTGTAATTTTGTAATAAAGGATAATTTTATCATGAAATTCCGCAAAGTAATGCACGCTGTTGCTTCAGGATAAACTAGGATAAGGAGTTGCCTATCCATAATGCCATAGAAATTATTCACTTTGGTTATATTGTCGTATTATTATTGAAGCTATTAAGGTTAACCAAAAATTGCTGTAAAGGTTCTTCCTTGTTTTTTGTTATTATCCTTTGTTTTAGGTATGATACAATATGCAATTTACACATGGCTAAAGATATGGAAATTGACATTGTTATTTGCAATTTCTAATGTGCTCTCTAATGATAATCATACACACGCACACACAAGTACACACACACACACACACACACACACACACACACACACATACACACACACACTTACAAACACACACACACAAACACACGCACACACGCACACGCACACACAAACACACTCACACACAATTATTTGTGTATGCTTAAGTATGCTTAGACTTGGTCACTTATTCATTAAAACTAAACACACACAGGCAGCAGACTGAGCCCCCACCTTTTATCCTGCGCTTAAAGAGAAGCATTCGCGCAGTGGGAATTTTCCGGTCAGAATACATTATCCCAAAAGCAAGGGGGAGAGACAGTACCCGCCGGCGTGTGCGGCTGCGGCACTGCTGGCCTTTTTCATTTCTCTTTATTTATTCTCTTTTCTTGCTTTCTTCTTTTTTTTAATTAGTTTTCTTTTTTTTCTTTCTCTTTCTCGTTTCATGTATTTCTCTTATTCTGTCTCTGTCTCTTTATTCTTTTTTCTTTCTCTTTTTTCTCTTATTTTGCTTTCTCTTTCTCGTTTTATTTATTTCCTATTTTTCTTTCTCATTCTCGTTTTATTTATTTCCTTTTTTCTATCTCTTTCCCTCCATTCTCTTTTTTTTCTTTTTCTTTCTCTTTCTCGTTTCATTTATTTCATTTTTTCTATCTCTTTCCCTACATTCTTCTTTTCTCTTTTTTCTTTCTCTTTCTTTTTATCTTCTGGTCGGTCTTGCTGAGGGAGAGAAGTTGTGAAATCATCGACAGTCTGATTACCTCTTGCTAATGGTCGTAGATATCACTCTAGCATTATAATAACAGCAATGTTTATGAATTCTAACAATAATACTGATAATAAAGAAATTATACCAATTATTGTTACTATCATCATCATATTGCCATTCTTATCATTTCCATTATTGCAGCCAAATCAGTAGTGGTATTATTAATACTTTTACATTATCACAAACTCCCGATTGCTACTAATATTATTTACCTACAAAATAAACAGTATCACAGTTTTTCTTCTGCAAAGCGTATCAAAATTACATCAAAAATATAATCGCGTGACAAGTTATTTATAACACTTTATCAGTCTTTATCAACGAGGCTTGTGCAACTGCGCGGCGAACTGGTAGATAAAAAGCAAGATAATAGTTAAATGTCCACATCAAGATTGCTTTGCTTTAATGCTGAGGTAGTGGGAAAGGGAGAGAGAGAGAGAGAGAGAGAGAGAGAGAGAGAGAGAGAGAGAGAGAGAGAGAGAGAGAGAGAGAGAGAGAGAGAGAGAGAGAGAGAGAGAGAGAGAGAGAGAGAGAGAAAGAGAGGAGAGGAGAGGAGAAGAGAAGAGAAGAGAAGAGAAGAGAAGAGAAGAGAAGAGAAGAGAAGAGAAGAGAGGAGAGGATATAGTGATCTCTCTCGCCTCACATACCAGAAAACACATATCTTTCTTATCCTAGAGTAACTTCTTTCTTGTCCCCAAAGCCAGACGCCCGTGCTGAAGTGCACTGCCGACCTTGACTCTCGGATCACCACGTTGCTGCCCTCGTCGTCGATCCCTGGGGCGTAAGTCTTGCTTGCTCCGTTAACGAGCCCATCTCACGGACGTCCTCGCTGCCGCATCACCTGCCGACGCCATTCTGTTCTCTACTACACGTCGCTGCAACTCCGTGTCCGCCGCCTCGTCCGCTGGTGACTGCCGTCTGACGTCCTCGCTGCATCTCGTCTCACTCACCACACCTGCTGCCCTGGTGACCCTGGCAAGAATGGTCCTACCTTGCCTGTCGAACCTCGTGACGCCATCTTCCTCTCCCGAAATGACGAATTCTTTGCGCCAACGACGTGATCCTGATCCTTTCAAGACCTAGTTCTCACGATGCTCCGCTCAATCCTCGTCTCCATCGCAAACAACTTGTTCCAGAATCTTGTAGACCGGTGTGCGTGTCATTTACAAGTTAACTGTGTCTTCCAGCGATCCTGTGGGACGATTGACGAGCTCCGTGACCGATCACCACTGTTGCTCCCGTCAAAACCACCTTCGCTTCGGAATAGTATCCTGTGTGAACAAGCTCCGTAGGCAGCCGACCTTAGAAGTCACCTGTGCGACCTTCTTTCCTCCTCGCCTGCAAGGACCGAGACTCCTTGCATCACCGCCGTCGAGACTTCATCTTCAGCACCACCCACCACAGCCAAGACGATCCTGGTTAGGTGACCGAGCGATATAGTGACCTGTTCTCGTGATCTCTCTCGCATCGCAGAAAAGCCATATGTTTCTAATCTTACAGTAACTCCACTGTCTTCCGCCGACTCCAACAGGTCCATGACGTAGTAGTGACCTTAGAACACGCTAAACTAACCCTTATTGCGCGTGGGCAATACCCTTGTTGTTATTCTGATGTCTTTGTGTATAACTATATCGTGTTTATACTCATAATGTTCGTTAGAAAATGCTTATTCTGAATCATTAAGTATGTTATCGCTATTATTATCTATATTCAAATGTTTTTATGTTTAATGAATACTCAGCATATCTGTCTCCTTATCACGAGGCTTTTTAGTCTTGTAAACACCATAACTCTCTTCTTACATACAACAGTATATAAGGTACCCTTGTTCCTTCACCACGAAACCATCATGTGACCATATGTACTTCAATTTGTGTATATTCAAATTATTTCATGTTTTCCATTATCAAATCTTTTAAAACAGAACGACCTGTATAGACTGCTCAGAAATTGGTCTATAAAAAATTATGTTTGTTTATCAAAAATTAAAAATATG